AGTGGACCAAGTGCTGGTCAAATACATTCGATTTGCGCAGAGCAAATGCACTTGGAATTTTCAATACAACAGCTCCAATATGATTTGCACTTCTCCGGCGGATCAAGTCTTTGAACTAATCCAGGGCAAGCAACGGAGACTCTTGGGCAACAACTTTAATGGTATGCCTATTGCCATTGCTTGAGTTTGGATCGATTTAAATCTTTTACCTTTCTCTTTAGTGACACTTAACAGGGGCGATTCGCCGATGTACATTAACGTGTTGAACTCAGGAACAGGAAAATAATACAGGGGGTCAATATATACTGATAGTTGCTTGAATTAAATCGGAAGCTGAACAAATAACTAGAATAGAACCGATGTTTAAATACATATGCAGATATATACCAGATGTACTTAAATGCTTAACAATATTTTTATAGAACTATATTTCCAACCGAAAATTACGCTACCTGATTGGGGTAGTTGGCTTCAAACAGAGACCCAAGCTGGATAAACTAATCAGACCTGGGCAGACCTCAAATAATATATCAAAAAACAGGTCCAGTCCAAATATTCCAGGATCTTTGTTCAGGTAATATTTGTTTAAATTTTTTTCTCCACACATTTTTTTTAATAATTTATTACTTTAGACCGACCGTATCACCAAATTTAAATCTTTAATAAAAACCTTTCTTGAAAACAAATCGGGATAATAAAACAAAGGTACTTTTATGGGTGTTCTTTTTTTCCGTCTGAGAACAAGATTAGTTTATAATCAATAAATATGAAGTTAAGTTGCATATTATCGTTTTGTATGGTTCTGAACTCTAAACTTATGAGTATATCAACTACAATAAGCTTTAAAATTGTGATTTTGGAAGTTACTATTGCATTTGGTTGTAGACGTTTTTTGGGTGTATCCCAACTCTTTACTTAAACTTGGATATTGAGGCGCCACTCACGCCAGCGGTAGTTTTGTTGCTACCGCTAAGCACCACATATGGTGTTTTAGTTTCCTTTTGCTTTTGCTGGAGCATTGTTAATGTGCAAAGTGGCGTGTCCGTGGAGCTCATTGTTTTCATTAGCTGTAAAAGATGAATATTTAAAACATTTCAATTTACAATGATATCAACAAGGAAAACTTACGCCATCTTGCTCCATTTTCTTGAGACGCTTCTCAATCTTATTTTTACCAGGTCCCTTGCCATGGAACTTGTGCGACAGATAACGGAAAGCCTCTTTAAGGTTCAGGATTCGACCATTATCATCAATATAATCAAGTTTGACATTGGGCTTGAATGTTTCTTTGTCCTTAAATTCCATAATAGGACCAGCGTGGAAACGATCGCGACGTCCAATTTTGTCATCCTCACTAAGTTAGGATGTTTCCATTAAAAAAATAGTTGGCACTAATGTTTATTTACTTACCCAGCAGCTTTGTCCTCAATGGAATAGTTCTTTGCCTGCAGATGCGCCATTTTTGTATTACTTGGTCGATTTTTTTCCTCCTTTTCCAAATAACCTTTGGATAGAGCCAAGCGCAGAGCATTTGCCACGCCAGCGCCCACATCGGGCTCCTCATCTAATATAGCTCTCTCCTCGATGTCATCGCCCAAATTATCTAAATCAGCGGGCTGCATCACTTCATCAGGATTAACCGAATTCCATGTGCCATGACTTAAGGTTGGCTCCTCCTGATTGCTATCCATATGTTCATCCAACGCGTCTGCCCTGTCAAAGTCCATCATATCATTGGAGTCCTCATTGCGATTTCCAGCCATGCCATAGGTGGGTATATCGCCCAGCGTGCGACAGAACTCCGCAGTGGCGTTGAGCACAATATTACCATCGGCGCCGCTAAGCAGCTCGCCACCAGCAGCCGTAGCGTCATCCACCGGCTCAGGTTTAACGCTGTGCGTAATGGATGTCACATCGATAGGCAGATGTGTCTTAATGATGTTTTCCTTTTGCTTAAGTTTGCGAGCCTTAGACAGTACGCGCTCCAAATCATCATTATCGTCTTGTTCCAGCTTGATTTGTGGCTTCGACTCATCTGGCATATTTACATTTTCGTCGGCTTCGCGGTAACTTCTTTGACGGCTGCCTAGATTTGAAGAGCCCGACAACTCACTAATTGGTTCCAAATCCTCAGCTTTTAGCTTCTGACGCAGTTTCTTAATTTTTTTCTTTGGCTTTTTAAAGCTACAGGAACAAGAATAAAAAATTTAATTGGAAAAACATGATCTAATAGATCATTAACAAAACTTACGTCGCCAGCTCCTCAACACTAAAAGTATCTGATGCTAATTTTATATTTGTATCCTGTAACGTTTCCAAACGTTTACCAGCTAATTTGGTCTTAATTTCCAATAGCTTGCGCTTATGCTCACGCTCTTCCTCCATGTTTTCGCCAATCAAAAAGTTCTTTCGCTTCTGGGGCTGCCCCTCGATATCTTCATCGTATTTCTCAAGTACGGAACGCTCAATTGGATTTCCAAGCTCATCGTATTGCTCTTCATAGACATTATAGCCATAGCTTAGCGGATTGAGCTTTTTGTTTGCCACATTTTTCTTGTAGCGCTCATCATCAATCATGTTGACATTAACCAAAGTGTCACCCTCCTCCTCATTGAGTACGTCCTGATCCTTGAGCGTCAAAATAACTGTTCGGCCCTCACCAAAGTCATCCACGTCATGTTCAACCCGTAATCCCTTCAAATTACGATCACCATAGGCCAATTGACGAGCCTTTTGCTTTTCTTGTTCTACTATATCGGCAACACCAAACGCCTCATCAAGTTCCTCCAACTCTTTGGCCTGCATCAGTGAAGAGACAAAATTAGTTTATTGAATTTACTTGGTATCTGGAAGGCTTTGTTATATACTTACTTTGCGCAGCGCCTCTTCACGCTGATTAACAACACGCTTGTTACGATCCACCCACTTGGAGACATTGTCTGTTTCCTCATCTGATTCGCCAAGTGTGCGAATGCGTGCCAAACGTTCTTCGAGGAAACGCTTCTCTTTGCGTTGCTTAAGCTTGTCACGTAGTTTTTCCGCCTCCTTTTTTTCTTTTATATTATCAGCTGGCTTATGCAAGAACTCGCCCCATTCATCCTTGTACGAAGAGAGATCTTTATCGGTGCCAGACCTTTTGTTTTCATGTTGACTGTTACTGCTGTTGGATGGCGCTGATTTGCTTGAACCAGTATCCACTTCAAGTGGCTTCAAGCCAAGCTTAGCACGCAATTTGTTTGTCTCTGCAATGGAGAGTACATCACCAGCACCGCTTTCCGGTATGGGCGAGCGGCTTCGTGAGCGAGCACGTTCGCGCTCCCGTTCACGTCCTGGCTCTCGCTCCCTGTTACCACGTTTACGGCTAGCGATATTGTCTGCTTTTGGCGAGTGCGAACGTTGCCGATGTGGTTGGTGGCTGGCTGTAGGTGATTGTGACCTGGAACTTCCTCGGCCACGTTCACGATCTTTCACTCCTCGTCTACGTGATTCACGTTCACGTTCTGTTTCACGCTCTCGTCGTCGCTCGCGCTCGTAATCCACATGCTTCGATATTTGCGGTGGTGGTGGGGCTGTTATTTCGTGATCACGTTCTCGAGCTAGCGGCTCACGATCCCGAGCTGGTAGCTCCCGCTCTCGAACATTTGGATCCCGCTCTCGTGCATGTTGTTCCCGCTCTCGCACAAGTGGCTCACGCTCCCGTGCCGATGGTTCTCTTTCTCGAGCTGGCAGATCCCGTTCCCTCGCTGGCGGTTCACGTACCTTCGCCCTAGCAACTTGTTCGATTGGCACCTCCACGCAGTCGGAACCTGCAAAAACAAAGTTTAAACTTAACAAATCTTCCAAATACACTTCTTCTACACAATAGCTAGTTGGTAATTAAAATTGTTGGCTGTTTTGCTGCCCTCTTTTCTCACACTCACAGTCTGTCGACCTGAAAACAACAAATAAAGAGAAGAAAAGAACAACAAATCTTTAGTGAGTTCAAGTTTTAAAAAGTGCAGCTCCAGGGTAATTGCGTGGCATAAAGCATAGAGAATTAACCCAATAAATATCGCTTTTCATGTTAAAATAGTGCTCGCCAGGTGCGCAATTACCCTTCAAGTTGGGCTGCACAGCCGACTAACGACAGGGCGTCACTTACTGTCCGAGTCCGACTCCTCTAGAGATATGACTTCGCTAGGTCGCTCTCGCTCCTTTTGCTTGTGATGCTTATGGCGATGTTCCTTGTGTTTCTTGTGCTTGTGGTGTTTGTGTCGCGTCGACGTCGAGTCGTCTGTGAGATCCAGAGTAACCTCCTCATCCGGTCCGCGATGTTGCCGTTCATGTGAGCGCGACCGATGATTATGTTTTTTGTCCTTTTTATGTTTCTTTCCAGACGAAGAACCCATTTTTAACAATGTTTTGAAACTTTTCTCAACTTTAGAAATTTATAAACGTTTTCGGTATCTTCTTTATTGTTTTGCCTTACAACTTTTTCAACACTGTACATCTCAGTGCTGTGTGCACAATGCTGCCACCTGACTTTGTTCATAATTCATCGTAATCTATCGACTGACCTCCACATTGTAACGAGTATTTTCTTTAAGCATCGCATAAAAATATGAATCGATACGTCTGGCAATATTTTTAGCGGTGACTTTCAATTCAAATATAAATTTACTCAGGATAATTTTATTGAACATTTATAGAATAAAATACAAGAAATACATTTTTATAATATTACTGCTGATAATACACAGAAAAAAGAACAGATGTTCTTTATTTTCAATAATGTTTTTCCCTTCTAAGATGAATCGTTCATATTCAAAAAATAAAGATAAAATAAGATAAACAACTCCATATTAGGTTAAAAATAAAAAAGTTGATATCTTATCAAAATAAAAAATACTGAATACAATAAGTTTGTATGCGCTGTTTTTATGAACTTAATAAATGTCTTCACTTATTTGTGAACGTTCAAGCTTGTTTGAAACAAGATAACAACTAATATTTTGTCCGGCTTAGTATAAATATGTATAGATAAATCTATGGATTTATATATAAGAATCCTAATTAATACCTAAATAATGCCTAATTAATGCGGTCCCAGCGCCAAACGGTGCTGTCATCGCAGACGCAAATCAAAATGGAGCCATCCTTGGAAAAGGAAGTTTGTCTTATGGTTGATATGCATTTGGGATGCATTAGTTGGCTGCATTTTGTCAAGTTTGGATCATTGGAGTCCAGCTCCCAAACAAATGTCGTGCCCAGCTGATTACCAAGCGCCAGCACCTTTTGCCAGGCATTAAAAGCGAAACGCACAAACCAAATCTCGCACATTTTGTAGTCAAAGTGATGGAGAACAGTTGTTGAGTCCTGTGGCTTGATCTCGTGTCGCTGTGCGAACAGCTTGCCTGGTTTCCAGCACACAATTGAATTCTCACACGACTTGGAAAAGACAAAGTCGCCAAACCACTGGACGCAATCTACATAGTTGCGATGAATATCGCGGGTGGAGAAGTCAGGAAAATGCTCCTTGATTGTTGGAAACGGAGCCGTATTTTTGCTGGCATTAAAAGTTGAACTCATTTCAATGGCCTCCTTAATATCAGGCTTATTAAGCCGCCAAAGCTTAAGTGAATGATCCATTCCGCTCGACATAATGCGATCACCGCGTAAATCAAAGTCTATTGATAGCACCTCGTCACGATGACCCTCAACGCCGCCAAAGACTGCAACGCAAACATCTGTTTGTATATTCCACAAGCGCAGCGAGTGATCCTTGCTGCCGGAGAGCAGCAGCTGCGGCAGCACCGGATGGAACTTCAGCTCATTTATGGCATGTCCGTGGCCAATGTAATTCTTTGAGCACTGGTGTTTAATTATATTAAAAATTCGTATGACGCCACGATAACCAGCTGCAGCCAGTACCGGGTCTCCGGTCGTTGAATCATACGACCAAGCACAAGTGTAAAAACTTTCATCAGTCTGGAAGTTACAACAATTGAATAATATGTAATTGTTAACCCAAGATTCATTAACTTACATCCGGATCTGCGTAGACCTGCAGCAATCGTATACTGTCACTGTCTTCAGACACAGTTTCTATATTGTTTTTGACGCATTCGTAGATAGACACGCGATCTTTGCCAACAGTTGCAAACACGGATTGGCTTCTATCTAAATAGGGATTGAATTGCACACCAAAGATTTGATGATTGTGGTCCTCGCGGATATGATAACTGGAAAAAATGTATCCAGACATGTAAAATGGTTAATTTCTTGTAGATTTTGTCAGTGCACTGCATAGCGCACCTATATTTGTACAGAGGTTGCACCATTTTAGGCGCCTTGATACGCCGGCACAGCCTTTTCAGCTTTCGCGTATTTGGCGACTTGCTCTTGCTGCGTGTTGTTGTTGTAGTTGTGCTAAAGACGCTGGCAGAATCCACCGAGAGTGTGTCCTCAATATCAACACCGGTGCCGATAAGTGGAGCTGCATTGGCAATTTCCGGCGTTGCCTCGGGTGTTAAGGAATCTTCATTTACCGATTGTTCCTCTTTACTTTCGCTAGAACTATTTTCCATCATTGCCCGACTTTTGTCTTGTTTACTTTTTTTTTGTGCTGTAGCAGAGCTGCCACCTCGTTACGAAAATACTAGACTCGCATATTTAAATAAAATACCACTTTAATACACTAATATGCTATATTTCGTTTTCTTATTTACGAACTAAATTCTAACGACGTCCAGTCTCTGTTACCGAGCTATTGGCACTCAGCAATTCATCTAGATACTTGTCGACTTCCTTATAAGCTTTTAAGCTGTGATCTGTACGTGAGAAAATCTCATTAATAAAGTAGATGCGCAGCAAGTCTGCCTTTGTTTGCAGCAATTGCGCGTGCGCTTGCTGCACCTTTAGTTCATGGCCCAGATGTGGACCCATCTTTAATTCGGCAGCCTTCATCATCAGTGCGCACTTGTGACTGGACATTTGCGCTAATTTTTCCAAGCAAGCACGTTGTTCTTTTTGCAGCCCAATTATTTCCTGTTGTCCTGGCGTCAACTCAACGTCTTCATCTTTTGTCAATGCATATGGCAGTTCACTACGTATCTTATCGCCCAATTCTGCAATCGGTGTAAGGGTTGCTCGTAGATTGGCCGCCAGATGTGTGCGCACGACCTTGCTGTCAGTATAACTCAGTGGGGGGCATCTACTGCATTCCTGCAAATCTACAAATGTGGCAGGCGTCAATGCAAATCATCCAGCATATGCAACTGTTTTCTGCTTACCAAGCAAATGTCCCTGATCATCGCCCAGGCGTACATAATCGGCTACCGACACTAATTTGAGAGCACGTTTGATTTCTGGACTCTCCTGAGATCCTAGGTTTAAACAGCGAATTTCATTTAATATCAGCTTTAGCTTTAAAACTTTTTTCAGCTCAACGTCACGCGCCTCCAGTAGCTCTTGCGTCTCAGTGCTTAGTATTGTGTTGGATTTATCAACCATTTCCATTATAAATAATATAAAATTGTAATTCTTTGTTTTAAACGCAGCAGTGCTGAGCACGGTTGTAGGAATTGGTACCAGTGCTTAAAAACATACTGAAAAATGTTGCAACTCTACCTTATTCTTAAAAGTCGTTGTTTCGAGTTAGGATAACAGAAACATTGATATCGATAACAATGCGGGAATACTGAAAGTAATTTCAAACCTAATTACATAAAGACATTTATGACTTACGCTACAATATCAACAATTCCGTTTCAATACTTGGCTATTTTTTTGTTTGCCAGTATTTTTAATATGTATTACAAAATCGAAAATTGAAAAGTGTTCATTTAGTCAAGTAAACTTTGTTTCTCGATAGACCACATTCAATAAGGAATTAACATTTATCGTACTAAGTCGTTTCCATAGTTGAGCGCAATTAGGAAAACAGTGGGTAAAAAGTTTGTATTGAAATTAAAGAAAAAAAGAGCTCAATTACAATATATAACTTTTCAGTGTACGATTGGTTCAACAGCCACAATAAATGGGCCGCCATCACAATAGGTGCCGCCACTGTGGCTGTCTCAAAGTTAATTTTTGCTACAATAAAATATGCGCGTAGCAGAAAATCGAACGAGGAAGTCCTGACCATTCTAATATTCAATGAATTGAGCGGTTCATGTGGCGCAAACCATCTTAAAAAAGCACCATTTAAGTGTCAGAACAAATACTGCACAAGGAGCCACATTCAACGCATTGTTTATCAAATTGATCAGGCACAGTATTGTATCGACATTGCAATCTATACATTTACCATAATAGAACTGTTGGAAGCTTTCAAACGTGCGCTGAGCCGTGGAGTCACAATTCGCGTTATCAGTGACCACGAAATGATTTGTTCAAGCGGCTCGAAGGTTTTAAGTCTAAACAGATTGGGCGTTGAGGTTCGCATGCCAGAAACAACAGCCATGATGCATCACAAGTTCATGGTGATCGACGAAAGAGCGCGTGTGGATGATTTGCGGCTAAAGGATCGAAAATCGAAACCACGTGCCTACCAAAGTGTGGTGGTTTACGGTTCGGCCAACTGGACCTTGCAAGGCTTTAATGGAAACTGTGAGAATTGCGTTATCACCTCGGACAAACAAATGACCAAAAAATTTCAAACTGAATTCGACAGAATGTGGAAATCGTTTGAATGTTCTTCACGCAACGTCAAAGCCTGCATAAAATAAATTCTTTATTCATTTCATGCATATACACCTTATTTTGTCAATATAATTATGGGTTAAGATTAAATGAAAATGCATTGATAATACAACTATCAACTATTTTGCCAGTTGTTTTAATTTTTCAAGGCGACGCGTGAATGTCTCTTTCAAAGTATTTAGTCTCTCAAGCTCGGAGCGCATTTCAATATATTCTAGGTAGGAAACTTCCGATTTAAGTAGAATCTCATGCTTCAGTTTCAACACGCGGTTCACTTCTTTCTGTTTGCGTTGAGTTTTAATTAGTTTCACTACCAGAGCAGTCTCTTTTGATTTCTTGAGCGTCTTTGATTTCTTCAATTTCTACAAGTAAAGTTACTATTAGTATTCTATTTCAAATTTTAATTTAATTTACTTACTTCCATTATTGTTGTATTCTATGGTCAGTATGTTAATCAGCTGGAAAATATAGTATGCCGCTCAATTAAGGTGGCCATACTTTTTTCTTACTAATAAATTTGCCCTTGTAAAATATCGATAAATGACTTTTCATTGCGATAGTCGCGTACAAAAATAAACAGAAAAAAAAATCAAACTATTTGTGTTGGTTGAAGAGTTGTCATTTATACTTTTGAAATGAATGCGCTCACGGATAAGGTGCTTGTGACTAAGGAGGCACTAGCTGTGGCCCTTGGTGACAACTGGGAGCGATATAGGGCAAATATGAAAAACTGGTTTCGCAACCGATGGACCAAAGAAGAATTTGATTGCGAATCTCGCAAAATCATGTCGCCAGACAAGTTGCATTTGCACAATCAGTTTCTCTTGGCGCTACTCAATAAAATAGATGCTTTCGCGGCTCCAGAAACCATTGCTACACTACAGCCGACTTGCCCTACCGGAAGCAGGAGCGGCAGCGGCGCTGGAAGTAGCAGCAGCCGAAAACGCAAACGCAGCTCACGCACCTTTGCTGATCGCATTAATTTTGAGCTGTGCGATGTCTTGGAGTTTGTTAAGGAGGACAACATGCAGGTGATACGCCCGCCCACATTAGGTGGCGATCAGGGACTGCAACAACAACAGCTTCCCACACAACGCTACTGCGCACAAGAATTGTTTTTGCCCGACGCTGGTTTCATTATGGGACGCTTCCTGATCGGCGCCTGGGAAATCGGCCTGATCTCCGTGGAAGACAGTGTGGCTGATTATGTGGCCATGGCTGTACAAGTGCTACTCAAGGATTTACTTGCATCAATTATCAAAAAACGTAAACATTATAAAACTAGCGGCGAGGGTAACTTTTTTTATGACGTCGGCGCCCAACTGCGAGATCCTTCGCTACGCAACACAGTGACCCGTCAAAAGGTGGACGATACCCCTTTGGAACACGACAAGGAGCTAAACACAGCTAACTTTATGAGGCGGCAAAATGATGACATTGTCTTTCTCTCTGCCTGCGAACAAGTGTAAGCAACTGACCACAAATTAATTTGACATATTTTAACATATTTTCCATATATTCCAACAGTTTGCCCTGCGAACGTACTGTGATTACACTTAAGGATTGCCAACGCGCTTTTCGTGATCGAAATCTCATTGGTTCCCATGCTGTCTACTCTATAAACATGGAACGGTTAAACATGATGATGCACTAGAATATTACAAACTTTTTTTTATTCTTTAATAACAAATTTGAAAAAAAAAAACGGTTGCAAGTCCATTAAAATTTAACAAAGCTCTCTTGGTGGTGGCTTAAAGGGCACCTGTCCAGGCGCAAAGTGATCCGCTTTAAAGGCCGCAATCTCCTCTGGGGTTAGTTCCTCCATGCGACTATATATAGATGAACTATTGTCGGATTGCGAAGGTTGTTGTAGCACCTGCTGCTGCTGCTGCTGGTGTAGTGTATGGAGCTGCTGTGGTGCTTCCGATTGCATTTGTTGTTGCTGTGGCTGCTGAAAACCAGCCTGCGGTTGACCGAAAAACCCACTCGGCGACTGCGCAGCTGCTTGTGCAAAAATATTGCCTGTATTTGGCGCCGCAACAGCAGCGCCTTGACCAAAGATGCCGCCGGGCTGTTGAGGTGGCTGCAACTGTTGTGGCGCATAGTTGACAGCTTGCCCAAAGGGCGATGCATTTGCTGGTTGCGCTTGTGCAAAAACGCTACTGCTGCCACCAGAGAAAGCTGCTGGTGTTTGTGCCTGTCCAAACGGATTCTGCTGCTGTTGCGGCTGCGCTTGTCCAAATATTGAGGGTTGCGTCTGTCCCATCGGCTGTTGCTGCACGAACGAGCCTGGCTGCTGCGGCTGTTGTTGTTGTTGCGCAAATATGTTTTGTGTACTTGTTGCACCCGCAAAAATGCTAGTGCCAGCATTGTTGCCACCCACGGGGCCACCTCCAAAGATAGAACTGCCACTAGACGCGAAGCTTGGCGTAGCAGCAGCGCTACCAAAAATATTGGCAGTACTAGCGCCCAAAGCGGGCTTGCTGAAAATTGAGCTAGTTTGTGCTGTATTATTTCCGACAAAACCAAACGGATTACTGTTATTATTGGCTGATGGCTGGGTGCCTTCCGGGCTTTCATATAGCTTGATCATAACATCAATTATTTGGGGTGTTGCCTGCAGCATGACCTTCATTTTATTCGTTGTATCAAGCACCTCCTTGGTAAACTGCTGATGAAATTGATCGAAGCAATTCTGCCGGCGACTTTCGTACGCTTGGTACCTCACCTCTTCAAAGGACTGATCTTCTATAAAGTTGGGTATGTTGGGTTTGTCCTTAAACGGTCCGTAAACAGAAAAAGGCCACATTTTACCATTTATGCACGATTCTATGTCTGTTTTAAGGTATTGGCTAGAAACAAGAGTGTCAACATAAAATTCGAGTTGTTAGGTCCTTAATGGCTGTACTTACTTTACATCAAAATGTTCATTGTGGCATTTTGTACCAAAACGGCAGGAGCCTTGTTGAAAAAAACGGCACACGCCCATTGTAATCGTTTAATAAAAATATAAACAAAAATCTATTCGCATCTGTACCGGCTGTCAGTACAATCGTTTGAGCGTCGTTGAATCAGCTGATTGTGTTTACAAAACGAAGCTGCCAACTTGTCGCAAGAAATTTGTCTGGTCTGCTTAACTTATGTATATGAATTTAAATTGCAGTGGTCTTCAGGTTACTGGTACATTTTTGAAAAGCTTTTTTATGACACTTAAAATGTAAACTGTGTAACATGTTGTCACTGGCAAAGTGCTGTCTTTTAATTGTTGTCAAATCGATTGTCGAATATGCGAATATGACCAAATCTGCGTGATCGATATATTATGTTAACCTCTCGTGAGGCTATTATGCTCTCCAAGTTGTTGCTGTTAACATCTGTTAAATAACATTAATGTTTAATTTGTTGTTGGAATTTGAGCGGGTCGGTCGCGTCGGCTTGTCACGGACAAAAATGTTGACGCTTGTAAATTATTGCAAAGATAATACACACGCCTCGAGCACTCGCCCCTTTAACTAGTTTTATGTACACATAGCAAGTTGGTTGTGCAAAAAGAAAAAAAAGTACCAGATCGCTGATTTGTTTTGCGTCTGCGTCTCTGTCTCACATAAAGGGCAGGCAGAAAAATTCAAGCCAATAAAAGATACATACTAAAAGCCGAAGTGCGCGAAATTGTGCCTGCTTGTTTTTACGTGTGTATATGTGTGTGTGTATATATTGTGTCGCAATAAACAAACAAAGGATACTTGAATGTTATTGCCTTAAAATTGTGTGAGCATTTTCGTTATTCAAACAATTTATCGCGGATCGCGCCATGTTTCCATCGGAATGCGGCACCAGCAGGAACACGCATGCGTTTTCAAATATTTGTTGCTGATGTTGCGACCGTAGAACAGTGTAATTTAACGCACTGCGAAGACGTCTAATCCAACTTGCTTCTTGTGTATGTGGCCAACGGATCGTCGCCAACCCCACGCTGCCAGCAGAATTTAAGTTCCACGCCAAAAAGCTTCGCCCTGAACTGTGTAAATAGCAAAGAAAAATAAGAAAAAGGCATAAAGCGACTGTCAAGCCACCAACTTACATACATACATACATACATATGTACGTGGGTAAGTACGCCCTCCCCTGCCTACGGACTAACTCGGCATCTTTGCATATCTCTAACAGCCCGCCCACTAGCCTGGTGCATTTATAAGGCAAACTGAATTAACTCATAGATCGGCATAAGAAGGTTCATTCTGCCACTTCCCCTCTCCTCTGGCACACTGTAACGCCTACTTGGATGCGTATTGGGAGCGGCATGTCTTTTGTTTTTTCCTCCACTTCTATGGGCAAGATTTAAACAAGTAAACAGTCGACGAAACCAAAGACAGTTTCCACAAAAATTAATTTTCAAATCAGGCCATCAGCTCAAAGAATAAGAGGAACAATTTGAACAGGCAGAAAAGGGTCAAACTTAAAATGACAATAACATCAATTTTGAAGCATTTATATGCGCTAATAAATTTCACAGTGAAACACAATAATAACAGCAGGAACAGCAGCAAAAACAAAACAACAACAACAAAAGAGCAGAAAAAGATGCACGACAACGGCTCAACAATAAGAGAGATCAAATAAAAAACTGCAGTCGCTGCCGACGCTGCTTTCGATGTTGTTGTTGTTGTTGGTGATGTTTTTATGTGCTGCAGCAGGTATAACTGATTGAGCGGCCAACAACAAACAGTGCGGCATTTCGAAATGTAATGTGCAGCAGATCAATACGAAAATGCATGCAAGACAATCCGCAGTGAAAGAGAAAAAGAGAAGAGAGCCATGCAAGCCCAGGCTAGCAACCTGTTGCGTCGGCTGCTGCTGCTGTTAGAAATATGTTAAGTCAATTTCGTGTATCGATAAAGTGTAACTAATGCCAAAACAGCAGGCAACAACAACAGTTATGCTAAGTTCGATGCACGAGCTTTTTGTCAATGAAATCGTTTTGCTGGCAAAAAAAAACTTTCTTTTTCTTGTGGGCTTATCACGCAGCATCGTTGAATGCGTACACCGACTTCGCTGCCCCAGTCACTGCCCTGCTCTCTTTTCTTAAGCGTGTCATTTTGTGTATTTTTTATATAATTGGGCGGCCTTTTAGTTGAACGCGGCTGCAGCATATCAGATTCGTGGTTCATTAAGACAATATAGGTTTCCTCGTGTACCACTCCCAGTTACCGCTGTGTGGGTAGTTTGGAATGTTTGGGTGAACGTGTTCCAGTGCCTGTGTGTGTATGTGTGTAGTTCTTGTCATCTTGGTCCCATCTTTGATTTCCTTCAACTGAACGTTCAACTTGTCGCAACAAGTGTCCCAGTTTATGGCCACGGCAGGCAACTAGAACAAGTTATTGTTTAACTTCCTGTCCAGCTATCGACACCGCCACCACACATCGCAGCATACTTTTCCTTTAGACTTTTAGTTATTTTTCTTACGCTGCTGTTGCGGCAACTGCCTCACCTTGCCCATTATCGTTGGCAACATTTTCCCACAAAAAGCAGAAAATGTTGCTGGAAGCTTTTGCATTGGCCCGCCTTGAA